GCAGGTGATTTCTTACTTTCTGTCTTTCTGTCTGTCCAGCAAGTGCATGTGCCCTGTAGCAAAAATCTCTCCAAAAAAAAGAAATTAAAAAGTAATACATTGAATATAATCAGTCACTCATCTCCATATATGAACATATTTTCTCCCTAATTAAGGTGTAAGCAGGGAGAAGAATATTTCTTTTATACCAAACTTCAACTGACAAAAGAGACATGGCAGGTGCTCAATATATATTTAACCAATCCAGGGGTCCACCAAGAAAACTTACCTCAGATATCCATTTTTTTTTTTAAATATTCCTCTAAGGTTTGAAAGTGACTCACCCTCGACCAACAAGAAATAACATTATAAGGTCTGATATAAGCTTCTTCATAGGCTTTTAAATTTTATTTTTTACAATTATGAAACTAATAATACTCAATATAGTAAATATAAAGAGCTCCTAAGTATAAAGAACTGAAAAAATGTATAAAACACTCTTATTCAGAAGCAATTATTACTGCTAGTCTTTTTTTTTTGGAATTTTTTTCTTTTATATGTATGAGAGAGACAGAGACAGGTACCCTTGACAGGGTTTCACAATGCTGCGATTCTGCCCCTAGCCTCCCAACCCACGTACCCTGTGTGCACAGAGCAACCCAAGACCTTAACCTGGACCTCCCATGTGGCTCCAGTCATGCAGCAAAGGCACAAGTCCTACCACCTGTGCTACTGAGTCTGGGCCTGTCATTTTTTTTTTTTCCACTCTTAAATCCATTAAATAACCAAATACTGCACTGCAACTGCTCCTACCAAGGTCACTCATAATTTTTGTTCAAGTGAATGGACATTTTTTTTTTTTTTTTTTTTTTTGCTATAGGGCATGGGCACTCGCTGGAGAGATAGATAGAAGTGAGAAATTACCTTCCAGGGGGATGGCCACACCACAATCCCTTCTCCTCCATTCTCCTCTGGGATATTGGGCACATACGCACACACACCCAGTGTGAGCTTTTTGTTTTCTTTTTGTCTTATTTTGAAGAGAGATTTTCACTACAGGGCACATGTGCTCGCCAGAGAGACAGAGACAGAAAGCGAGAAATCACCCCCCAGGGGGGATGGTCACGCCGCAATCCCTTCTCCTCCATTCTCCTCTCGGGATCTTGGGCACGCACGCACACGCGCCTGGCATGAGTTTTAAGCCACTGGGTCCGGGACTCAAACCATGGTCGACTACGTGAGAGTCCAGCAATGTAACCATTATGCTATTTGCTGGTCCCAGTGGACATTTTTTTTTTTTAGAACTTACCTTTTTTTAACCTCTGAGTAGCATTATCAAACTTTCCTCAACTTTGTTAACATCATGCTCCCCTACTACAAACTTTCTGAATGGTTTTTAGAAGCTACCTTGCTTTCTCCGCATATCTCCATAACTGTGTGCTTCTCCCCAGAGTTCAGCCCTAAGTCATATTTCTTTTCACTCTCACCCAACCAGTCTAACCACTTTAAAGAAGGCAATAGTCTATTCTTAATTTAAAAATGGTTTGTGAGTTTGTGCATGGTACGGTAAGGAAAAAAATGGGCATGAAATTCTATTAAATTTGATCAGATGTGCTTATGCTATATAGTCTGTTTGGTCAAATGACATAAATAGATCATGAATTATTAAAATGAAGCAACAGATAATAAAACTAACTTGAGCCAGACTGCCTGGGTATCTTAAAAAACCACTCTATACCTTATTTGTAATATGGAAACATTAACATTACTGTTAATATGTAACACTGTTAGACATGCCAGGTTTTTTCCAAAGATCAGTAGTATATGAGAAGGGCAGAGAACATGGCCCAGACAATGGTGCTGTGGTAAAATGCACACTCTGCGAAGTTAACACACATGGGAAGGTTCCGGGTCTTCAGTCAGAGATCTCCCTGAACATTCCAGGCATGTTTGTGCCCATGGCCCAGGGCTAGATAGGGACAGACCATGGCATCAAGACTGTGTAGGATGTGTTGTTTGTCTCTGTCTCTTTCTTTCTCACTCATGAAAGAAGGAAAGGAAAAAAAAAAACTTAAAAAAAAACTTAAAAAAAGAAAAAACTACAGAGAACAGTGCCTGGTGCAAGTGATACTGGGTCACTGGAAAGTCATGATGTATTTTTCTATATTTTTCTAAGCAAAAATGAGTTATGACTTTTCTGAAAACCCAATATATTAGAAATTCATATTATTGTGAAACAATGCTGTATTCCTGAGCTAAAATTATTGTGTGTTAATCTTTTAACATATAATAAAGCATAATTTGCCAATAACTTAAATATCTTTTTTTAATTAGCTATTACAACATTAGATGTAATTATTTTATTCCGAACTTTTTAAAAATTACATAGCATAAACAAAAATAGCTCTTCTGAAGTTAATTGTTAGGTTTTGGTGTTTGGCTAGGTTAGCATCATAAAATGACACTGAGTCAAGTCTCTCTCTTTCACATATGCAATGAATAAAAGAATCCTCTAGTTCTATGGTTGTGCTTGGTGAGTTTACTTCATTTAGACATCTAAATTTGTAGCACACAAGTGCATAATATTTTTAATACTTGTTTTTACCTCCCCTAAATCTGTCATGTCCTCTTTTTATATGGAGAGAAAGTAAGAAAGCACTCCCCACGGGGAATGGTCAAATCGCAATCCCTTCTCTTCAGTTTCTTTTTAACTTCAAAAAGCAAGTTAGTGTACTACAGTGCTTAGAATAGTACCTCTTCAGGGGTCAGCTGGTGGCATGGTGGTTAAGGTGTTGGACACTCCCATATGGCCAACCATGGTCTGAGTCCTTGACCTGGTGGCTTGCCTTCTCACTTTCCCTCTCTGTCTCTGTCTCTCTCTGGTCAAATTAAAAAAAAAAACAAAAAAAGGAATGAATGAATAAATAATCCTTTTAAAAAAAAGGAATAGTACCTCTTCTATAAAAATAAAAATAATTTCTGTCAGCTATGGAGTACTTTATGTGTGCCAACAACACGAGAAATGCTTTATACATAACATTATGCACTATGTATTTGTCCATAGTATTAATGAAAATATTTAAACACAAGACATTATCAAACTATTTCTTGTAAATAAAACTTACTTTTGCTTTAAAACTGTTCTTAGAGCATCTTTCTGTCCCATGGCATACTGAGAAATAAAGATGTCATTCGCTGCAAAATCAAGACAAAAATAAACTTCAGATTCCTGAAAATGTATTCAATTTTAACAAGCTACTTACTAAAAAAAGACACACTTTTTAACTAAAAGAATGCTTAGGGGACAGCAAGTAGCATGGTAGTTAAGGTGCTGGATCCCACATGACTGACTTTGTATCTTGAGTCCCAGAACCAGCAGTCTGAAACACATACCAGGTGCATATGCATGTGTGCCCAAAGTCCAAAAGGAAAATGGAGGAGAAGGGACTGTGGTGTGGCCATCCCCCTGGGGGGTGATTTCTCACATTCCTTATCCCTCTGTCTCTTTCAGGTGAGCCACACACACCCCATAGAAGAAAAATCTAAATAAAATAAATAAATTAAATTAAAAATAATAATAAAAAAGAATGCTTAGAAATTCAACAATAAGATTTTTCACATTTTTTCTTCAGAGAGACATTATTGCTATAGGGCTCATGTGCTCACCGGCGATACAGAAGGACAAAAAGCAAGAAATCACCCCTCTAAGGGGAATGGCCATGCCACAACCCCTTCTCCTCCATTCACCTCGGGGATTTTGGGCACACACACACCCAGCGTGAGTTTTAAACTGCTGGGTTCAGGACCGTAGTTGAACCGTGGTCAACCATGTGAGAGTCTTAGAGACATAACCATTTTGCCATCTGCTGATCCCAGGGCTTTTCACTTTAAAAAGGCAATAAAAAAGCAAGGAACAAATTAAGTGACCAAGTAATAATTACAGTCATATCCCTAGACTCTAGGGAAAAAAATTGCATTAAAAAAAAAAAAAAAAAAAAAAAAACTGGGCCCTGATTACCTCCCAGAATCTGTTCCAGGCACTGGGAAGACAGTGAGAAACTAGACTTTAATCTCATGCATCTTTCATCCTAGAGTGGAAGCCAGCAATAACTACTTGTCTAGGGATGATAACACTGAGGAAAATAATCTAGGCTGAAAGAAGAGAGAAAAATGATGGGAATAGGATTTACGCATAATTTGCCAATAACTTAAATATCTTTTTTTAATTAGCTATTACAACATTAGATGTAATTATTTTATTCCGAACTTTTTAAAAATTACATAGCATAAACAAAAATAGCTCTTCTGAAGTTAATTGTTAGGTTTTGGTGTTTGGCTAGGTTAGCATCATAAAATGACACTGAGTCAAGTCTCTCTCTTTCACATATGCAATGAATAAAAGAATCCTCTAGTTCTATGGTTGTGCTTGGTGAGTTTACTTCATTTAGACATCTAAATTTGTAGCACACAAGTGCATAATATTTTTAATACTTGTTTTTACCTCCCCTAAATCTGTCATGTCCTCTTTTTATATGGAGAGAAAGTAAGAAAGCACTCCCCACGGGGAATGGTCAAATCGCAATCCCTTCTCTTCAGTTTCTTTTTAACTTCAAAAAGCAAGTTAGTGTACTACAGTGCTTAGAATAGTACCTCTTCAGGGGTCAGCTGGTGGCATGGTGGTTAAGGTGTTGGACACTCCCATATGGCCAACCATGGTCTGAGTCCTTGACCTGGTGGCTTGCCTTCTCACTTTCCCTCTCTGTCTCTGTCTCTCTCTGGTCAAATTAAAAAAAAAAACAAAAAAAGGAATGAATGAATAAATAATCCTTTTAAAAAAAAGGAATAGTACCTCTTCTATAAAAATAAAAATAATTTCTGTCAGCTATGGAGTACTTTATGTGTGCCAACAACACGAGAAATGCTTTATACATAACATTATGCACTATGTATTTGTCCATAGTATTAATGAAAATATTTAAACACAAGACATTATCAAACTATTTCTTGTAAATAAAACTTACTTTTGCTTTAAAACTGTTCTTAGAGCATCTTTCTGTCCCATGGCATACTGAGAAATAAAGATGTCATTCGCTGCAAAATCAAGACAAAAATAAACTTCAGATTCCTGAAAATGTATTCAATTTTAACAAGCTACTTACTAAAAAAAGACACACTTTTTAACTAAAAGAATGCTTAGGGGACAGCAAGTAGCATGGTAGTTAAGGTGCTGGATCCCACATGACTGACTTTGTATCTTGAGTCCCAGAACCAGCAGTCTGAAACACATACCAGGTGCATATGCATGTGTGCCCAAAGTCCAAAAGGAAAATGGAGGAGAAGGGACTGTGGTGTGGCCATCCCCCTGGGGGGTGATTTCTCACATTCCTTATCCCTCTGTCTCTTTCAGGTGAGCCACACACACCCCATAGAAGAAAAATCTAAATAAAATAAATAAATTAAATTAAAAATAATAATAAAAAAGAATGCTTAGAAATTCAACAATAAGATTTTTCACATTTTTTCTTCAGAGAGACATTATTGCTATAGGGCTCATGTGCTCACCGGCGATACAGAAGGACAAAAAGCAAGAAATCACCCCTCTAAGGGGAATGGCCATGCCACAACCCCTTCTCCTCCATTCACCTCGGGGATTTTGGGCACACACACACCCAGCGTGAGTTTTAAACTGCTGGGTTCAGGACCGTAGTTGAACCGTGGTCAACCATGTGAGAGTCTTAGAGACATAACCATTTTGCCATCTGCTGATCCCAGGGCTTTTCACTTTAAAAAGGCAATAAAAAAGCAAGGAACAAATTAAGTGACCAAGTAATAATTACAGTCATATCCCTAGACTCTAGGGAAAAAAATTGCATTAAAAAAAAAAAAAAAAAAAAAAAAACTGTGGCCACAAGGGTTGGCAGGTGGTGTGGTAGCTGAGGCCCTGGACTCCCACATGGCCGAGACTGCTGTGGTTTGAGTCCCAGACCCGGTGGTTTGCTTTCTCACTTTTCCTTTCTCTCTCTGTCGCTCTCTGGTTGGGTTAAAAAATAATAACAAAGTCCAATGAATAATTATTTAAAAAAAAAAAAAAACCCTATGCCCAAATAGGAAACATTTGCCCAAATTCTAAAGAGAAAACTGCTTAGAATAATATAAAACCAGCTGCTTTTTAAGTTGCCATTAAATAAAACTTTTCAAGGCACATTTTTTTTTTTTGGAGAGGTTTTCACTATACGGCACATGCGCTTGCCAGACAGACAGAGAGAGACATAGAGACAGAAAGCGAGAAATCACCCCCCAGGGGGGATGGTCACGCCATAATCCCTTCTCCTCTGTTCTCCTCTCGGGATCTTGGGCACGCACGCACACGCGCCCGGCTTGAGTTTTAAGCCACTGGGTCCAGGACGTGAACCGCAGTCGACTACGTGGGAGTCTAGCGACATAGCCATTACGCTAACTGCTGGTCCCAAGGCACATTTTTAATTATTTTACCAAAGACCATTTAAAATCTGGATTTAGAATTGATAAACAGATATCTAATATCAAACTATGCAGTAGGTTGGTAATACCAAAATAATCTTTATGATTGTAAACCTTTTCTGAATTTTAGAGATTCTATTACTAGCTCAGTTTGGAAGTAAAAACTAATTAAAAGTGAAATAATAAGTAAAATTATAATATTGTTGAATGAATATTTAAAAATCAGTTCTAGTGGCCAGCAGGTGGCAATGGTGGTTAAGGCGCTGGATCCCATAGGACTAGCCAATTGTGTAATGGTTACGTGTCTGGACTTCCATGTAGTCAATCACAGTTTGAGTCCCAGACCTGGCGGCTTAAAACACATCGGGCATGTATACGTGTGTGTCCAAAATCCTGAGAGGAGAATGGAGGAGAAGGGACTGTGGCACGATCATCCCCGCTGGGGGGTGATTTCTCACTTTCTATTTCTCTTTCTCTCCAGGTGAGTGCACAGCAAAAATCTCCCTTAAAAAAAAAAGAAGTGCTGGATCCCATATGGTTGACTCCACAGTTAAGAGTCCTGGACCCAGAGGCCGAAAAAACACGCTGTGCATGTGTGCCCTAAATCCCAAGATTAGTATGGACTGTTGCATGCCCATTCCCACAGGGAGTGATTTCTCACTTTTCCTCTGTCTTTCTCCCGTGAGCACAAAAACAAAAAAAATTAATTCTACCCTTACAAAGGAAATTCTTGACACATGCTACAACGTGGTGAATCCTGAAGGCATTAAGCCAGGTGAAATAAGCTAATCAAGTCAAATACTGGATAATTCTACTAATATGAGGTGCCAGGTCAAATTCACAGACAAAACTTGGGAAAGGTTTGCCAAAGGCTGAGAGGACGGAAACGTTGAATAGGTACAGTTTTGATTTGGGGGCAGTGAAAAGTTCTGGAGGTGGCCAATGTTGATGGTTGCATCACAATATGAATGTACTTGATGAATAATAATATATTCTTAATACATATTTTAAAATGGTCGAGCCCAGACAGGTGGTGTGGTAGTTAAGGCGGCCCTAACCCACATGGCTGACTATGCAGTTCCAGTCCTGGACATGGTGGCTTGAAAAACACACTGGCGGGGCCAGCAGGTGGCATGGTTAATGGTGCTGGACTGCCACACGGCCAAGCACGGTTCAGACCAGGCAGCTTGCTTTCTAACTTTCTCTCACTCTCTCTCTCACACTCTGTCCCTCTCTGTTCAAATTAAATAAACAAATACAGTTAAATAAAATAATTCTTTTAAGAAAGAAAGAAGGAAAGGAAAGGAAAGGAAAGGAAAGGAAAGGAAAGGAAAGGAAAGGAAAGGAAGAAAGGAAGGAAGAAAGAAAGGAAGGGGAAAGGAAAGGAAAGGAAAGGAAAGGAAAGGAAAGGAAAGGAAAGGAAGAAAGGAAGGAAGAAAGAAAGGAAGGAAGGAAGGAAGGAAGGAAGGAAGGAAGGAAGGAAGGAAGGAAGAAAGAAAGAAAGAGAGAGAGAAAAACATACTGGGAACATGTGTGATTATGCCCAAAATCCAGAAAGGAGAATGTAGAAGGGATTGTGGCACTGTCATCCCCCTACAGAGTGATTTCTCACTGTTTTTTTTTCGCTCTCTCTCTCTTTCTGTCTCTTTCTTTCCAGCAAGTACATGCACCCTATAGCAAAAAAAAAAAAAAAAAAAACAACGGTTAAGGGCCAGTTCTTCCGTACAGCAGTTAAGCACCATGAACAGTAAGCTAGATACCACATAGCTGACTACAACTTGAATGAGAGCCCTAATGGCCTGAAAAACACAATGGGATGAGAGCCAGCAGGTAGTAAGATGGTTGAGGTGCTGGACTCCCACATGGCCCACCATGGTTCAAGTCCTGGAGCTGGCAGGTTACTTTCTCACTTTCCCTCTCTCTCTCCCTATCTCTCTCTGGTGAGCATACATTTAAATTATAAATTTAAATTTATAGCAAATTTGAACAATAATAATAAATAAAATTGAATAAATATTTGTAAACTATTAAAAATTATTAAAATGGTAAATTTTATATTAGGTATATTTTCCCACAATAAAATTTAAAAAATAGGACCAGCAGGAGGTGTGGTGGTTAAGGGTGCTGGACTCCCACATGGTCCACTACAGTTCGAGTCCTAGACCTGGCGGCTTTGCTTTCTCACTTTGCCTCTCTCTCTTCATCTGTCCCTCTCTGGTCAAACTAAAATAAATAAATAAAGTTGAATATAATAATTCTTTCAAAAAATGAATTTATATTCTTTTACCTTTTTGTCTGCTCTCTTCTCTTTTATCCAAAGATACCTCTTGTACTGCAACATCTTTAGAAAAATCCTTTGAGATACAAAATAAAAAAGTGAGAGGCTAAAAAAGCTTTATGATTTATTACTTACCAAGTCCATTTACCATCTAGTGACTACTGTATTCTAGAAAGGTGGGACTGTGTGTCTTATTATATTTTTTGTTCCAAGCACCACCAAACGCCTAGGTACTTTGAAGCTACTCAAAGATTTGATGAGGAAGTAATGCACTGTCATACAAGTGAGTGAATAAATGAACAGCAAATGTGGCACTGAGATTCAGACTCAAATCCTGATTTGAGACTCCCACATGGCCAACCACAGTTCAAGTCGTAGACCTGGTAGCTTGCTTTTTCCCATTGCCTCCCTCTCTCTGTGTATATCTCTCTATGGCCAAATTTAAATAAATGCATTAATAAATAAAATTAAGTAATTCTAGGGACCAGCAGGTGGAGTGGTGGTTAAGGTGCTGGACACTCCCACATGGCTGACCATGGTTCAAGTCCTGGACCTGGTGGCTTGCTTTCTCTCTCTCTTGCTCTCTCTCCCTCTGGTAAAATTAAAAACATAAATGAATGAATAAATTTTCAAAAAATAAACAATAATTCTTTTTTAAAAATTAAATAATTATTTTTTTAAAAGTTTCTAGGAAAAATGGACAGTAAGTAGTATGGTGGTTAAGGCACTGGACTTCCACAGGGTTGACCAAGGTTCAAGTCCTGGACCTGCCAGCTTGCTTTTCCGCATTCACTCACTCTGTGGTCAAATTTAAAAAATAATAAAGATGATAAATAAAATTAAATAAAATAATCATCTTTTTTTAATTTATTTTTTATTTTTTTATTTTTGGAGAGGTTTTCGCTTCAGGGCACGTTCGCTCACCAGACAGAGAGAAACATAGAGACAGAAAGCGAGAAATCACCCCCCAGGAGGGATGGCCACGCCGCAATCCCTTCTCCTCCATTCTCCTCTCAGGATCTTGGGCACGCACGCACACGCACCCGGCGTGAGTTTTAAGCCACTGGGTCCGGGACGCGAACCACGGTCGACTACGTGGGAGTCCAACGACATAGCCATTACGCTAACTGCTGGTTCCCCAATAATTATCTTTTAAGAAGAGTTTCTAGGAAAAAATCAATTCACATAAAAACATTTTTAATTCTACCGGTTATAAACAGCATGGGGACCAGCAGTTAGCGTAATGGCTATGATGCTGGACTCCCACGTATTCGACCGCGGTTCACGTCCCAGACCCGGTGGCTTAGAACTCACGCCGGGCGTGTGTGCGTGCGTGCCCAAGATTCCGAGAGAAGAATGGAGGAGAAGGGATTGCAGCAAGTGGCATGGTGTTTAAGGCACTAGACTCCCACATGGCTAACCACAATTCAAATGCTGGGCCCAGCTTAAAAATCACACTGGGGGAACCAGCAGTTAGCGTAATGGCTATGATGCTGGACTCCCACGTATTCGACCGCGGTTCACGTCCCAGACCCGGTGGCTTAGAACTCACGCCGGGCGTGTGTGCGTGCGTGCCCAAGATTCCGAGAGAAGAATGGAGGAGAAGGGATTGCAGCGTGACCATCCCCACTGGGGGGTGATTTCTCACTTTCTGTCTCTA